GTAAAATAACTAGTGTCTCCAGTTATATCCTGTTACAAAATAAAGCAGATTCTTACTGAACTTTTGCAAATAATTATATTTTTCTAAAAGAAAAATACTCATGAATAGTTTCCAAGTTTTGGAGATCTTGGATAGAGAGAAGGTAAATTTTGCTCACAAAAATATACTGTACTCAATCTTGGTAAGCTATAAATATCTCAAAATAAAAAGGTTTTCTTGAGGCTTTTTCAAACAGAGTAGCAGCTTCCAAACAGGATGTCATTTGTTCACCTTTAAATTGTCATCCATAAGTCAAGTCGGAATTGAAAAAGTCAGGCCAAGGGAGAAAAAGTCAGGCCAAGGGGAAAAAGTAGCTCACTGATTCTTAGAATCTCCTCCTTGTGCTCCCCAAGTAGCAAGGTCCTATACAAATCATTTCCATTTTATTATGGAAGTCTTGTGCACTGCTATTTCCATTTGCAGAAGGGTACTTTCCCATAGCAATGCAGTAAATGCCGTGAAAGCGGGAAGTTCTCTCCTCTAAAGCGCTAGTAGTTGCTGTTGGGAGGTACTCACAGGCTTTTGCCATCAGTCCCAGTGAACATTCCACAAAGGGCTCTCAAGTGGAGGATTCCGCCCCACCAGCACTCTCAACTTTCACTCTAAACTCTAGGCTTGGACAATCTTACTGGCTCCCATTTAGCACGTTCAGTTAATATTGCTCACAGGGCTGATTTATGCGTCCTGTTTTACAGTCCTAGGCAGGGGAAATATTCCTCAGTCAGACACAATATCCATTTCCACGAAACATTTAGGTAAAGGATACACAACTACTTTACATAAAACCTGCTTAAACATTTCAGCTTTCATTTTATAATCCTATCAGCCTTTGCATTTTATGTTTTGGTTCCAGGAATTCATTTTTTCCACCACATACCATTTTACTATCTAGTAAAAAAGGATTTAGATTTCCAGTAGGGGGATGAGCCAAGTGGCGGTCAGGGTGGAGGCTTTATCAGTCTTTTCTTGATTAACCCACCCAAGTAATCTCTTTGAAGCCCTTCTTATTACACTGGAGGGAATGGGGAATGAAGCTCTACCCATCTCCCCCAAGAAAAGCGGTTGTGGTACTCACGACGCCTGACAAATATCTGTAAGGAAATGTTTTCTGTAATTTCTAATTTCAGTCCTTTTGGTTGTCTGGCTTCCTTTATACTTTGGAGGGGAGTAGTAAGGTAAGTGAAGCAACGAGCCCTATATTGTTGTTCAAACACCTTGCTTTAGATTGTGGCACAGAATAGCTTGAGAAACTTAGAAAAATTCTCAGGAACTGAGAGGGAGTGTTCAGGTTTAAAATACTGTTACAGGAATAGTGTGGTGCACTTGCCTGTAATCCCAGCACTTTGGGAGACTGAGGTGGGAGGATGGCTTGAGGCCAGGACTTTGAGACTACCCTGGGTAACTTAGTAAGGCCTCATCACTACAAAAATAAAAATAAAGATAAAATAAAATAAGGTTACGATTTTACTCAGAATAAAACACACACACACACACATATATATTTAAGTTTCAGGTAATATTTGTATTCAAGATTTCCCCCTCAGAATCGAAAACTGTTACCTGCCTTCTTCCTAGACATGAAGCCGGCTGTTTCAATAGATAGCAAGTGTGAGTAACAAATTCTTATTTTTTTATTCAACCCCAGATAATTTTTTCTGCATTCTGCTACTAAGCCTAAATTTTAAAACTATTTTTAGTTTTTAAATTTCCAGTGTATCCTTCTCATGAATTGTAAACATTTACTGCTATTTTCTGTCATGTCTTTATTGAGATATAATTTACATACCATACAATTCACCCACTTAATGGGTATAATTTAATTTTTTTAATATAATCACAGAGTTTTACAACAATTACCACAATCAACTTTAGAATATTTATCGCCTCAAAAAGCAACCCTGTACACTTTGGCTATCAGCTTCTAACCTCTCTCCTTCAGCTCCAACCCTAACCAACCACAGATCCACCTTCTATCTCTATATGTTTGCCTAGTCTGGATATGCCATAAAAATGGAATCATAATATGTGGTCATTTGTGACTGGCTTCTTACACTTAGCAGAATATTTTCAATGTTCATCCATGTTATAGCATCTATTATCACTTCATTCCCTTTTCATGCCCAAATAATATTCCATTGTTTAGATATGCCACATTTTGTTTACCCATTCATCAATTGATGAGCATTTAGATTGTTTCCTCCTTTTGGCTAACACAAATAATGCTGCTATAAACATATGTGTACAAGTGTTTTTGTGGACACATTTTAAAAAATTTATCTTGGGTATGTATTTAGGAGTAGACTGCTGAATTAATGGCAATATTATTGTTTCACTTTTAAAAAAACTGCAGCTTGTTTTCCAAATTGGTCAAACCAGTTTGTATCCCTACCAGAAGTGTATGTTGCTTCCAGTTTCCTTGACATCATTTGTTATTACCTGACTTCTTGCTTATACCTATCTTTGAGGATGTGAAGTGTTATCTCACTGTGGTTTTGATTCATATTTGCTTAATAATTAATGATGTTATATATCTTTTCATGTGCCTATTGGCCATTTATATATCTTCTTTAGAGAAATGTCTATTTGAATCCTTTGCTTATTTTGAAATTGCCTTATTTCTCTTTTTTTGTGGTTGTAAAAGTTCCTTACATATATTCTCGATACAAGTACTTTATGAGATATACAATTTTGCAAATATTTTTTTTCCCATTGTGTGAGTTCTATTTTCCTTTTTCAATAGTACCCTTTGAAGCATGACATTTTACATTTTGAGAAAATGCAATTTCTGTACTTTATATTTTCTTGTTTGTGGTTTTGGTGTGATATCTAAGAATCAATTGTCAAATCTGTGGTGATGAATATTTTAAGTCTTAATTTTTACCTGTTTTACTAGTCATATTTTTAATAGATACTTTTAAAAATCTTTTTTTTTTTTTTTTTGAGACAAAGTCTCACTGTGTTGCCCAGTCTGGAGTGCAGTGGCACCGTCTTGGCTCACTGCAGCCTCCATCCTCCAGGCTACCTAAAAAAACCTTCTGACCAAAAATATTTTAATTAAGAAATGCTGTGTGAAGTACAGGAATATCTAAAATATATTACTAATACTTCCTGTTTAGTATTTTCCCAAACTATGGTACATCAAAAAATAATAAAGTTGTTGCATGAAATCAGCATCATGACTAACATGGTCTTTATACCCATCTTCTATTGCCTTGTTTGTTAGTGACAGTTTTGATTACTCTCTTCTGAATATAAAAGTAATATATGTTCAACATGAAAAATGTAAAATTTGGGAAAATGTGAAAAATTTGAAAATATTCTTTCTTTTCTTTCTTTTTTCCCTTTTTCTTCCTTTCTTCCTTTCTTTCTCTTCCTCCCTCCCTCCCTCCCTCCCTTCCTTCCTTCCTTCCTTCCTTCCTTCCTTCCTTCCTTCCTTCCTTCCTTCCTTCCTTCCTTCCTTCCTTCCTCTTTTCTTTTTTTTCTCTCTCTCTTTCCCTTCCTTTCTTTCTTTCTCTGAGACAGAGTCTTGCTCTGTCACCCAGGATGGACTGCAGTGGCATGATCTTGGCATGCTGCAACCTTTGCTTCCCAGGTTCTTCTGCCTCAGCCTCCCAAGTAGCTGGAATCACAGGTATGCACTACCTTCTCTGGCTATTTTTTTTTGTATTTTATTAGAGACAAAGTTTTGCCATGTTGGACAGGCTGTCTCGAACACCTGGCCTCAAGCAATTCACCTGCCTTGGCCTTCCAAAGTTCTAGGATTACAGGTGTGAGCCACTGTGCCCATCCTATTTTAATTTTTTAAACCTAAACCATATAGAATTATTAAAGCCATCATTTTTATTTCTCTCACTCTTTCTTCTACAACCATTTATACACATCTAGATAACTCTGTATATGCAATTTTGTAACCAAATAATTTTCACCTTTTCGTATGTGTATATCACCTCTTGACTAGATTAGAAGCTCCACAGAAGAACTGGTTAAAACTTCAAAGTCTACTCTTTTATAGGAGATGGGGCATTTAATACTTTAAGGGGTATTCAGTATTAGATAGGTAGCTAGACTTACATTAGAGGATTTATAAATATTTACTAATACTTGCCACAACCATAAAAGTTGACAGCTTTTGCAGGTTTTTAAGTGATGATGACATGAAGATAGAGACTAAAATAACATCTAAGTTTCCTCTTAAATAAAGTTAATTCAGAGAGCTTCAAAGTTATCTTATAATTTGAGACAAACAGGAGGGATTAGATGAATTATTACTGAAGCGAGAACATTTACTGTCTCTGTGGAATTTATGAATACAATTCCCCATATTGTGATTTGCCCAGGAATAATATGACTTTCTCCTGTGGTTTGAATGTGTCCCCGAAAGTTTATGTGGAAACTTAACTCCCAATGCAACAGTGTTGTGAGGTGAGCCCTTTAGGATGTGATTAAGTCATGAGAGCTCTGCTTTCTTGAATGGATTAATGCCATTATCATGGGATTGGATTGTTATCTCAGGAGTCGTGTCTTTAAAGATGAGTTTATCCTCCTCCCCGCCCCCACCACTCTCTCTCTCTCTCTCTCTCCCCCTTTTTCTCTCACTCCCATGTACATACTTTCTTGCCACGTGATGCCTTCCACCATGTTGTGATACCTTCCACCATATTATGATGCTTTGAGAAGACCCTCACCAGATGTAGCCCCTCAATCTTGGACTGCCCAGCTTTTAGATTTATGAAACAAATAAACTATTGGTTAGAAGTTACCCAGTCTGTGATATTCTGTTATAACAATGTAAAATGGACTAAGACCCCCTCTTATTAAGTGAAGCATTGTTCTCTCAGCTTACAAATTTCAGAAACTCTGAAAATCCAGAGTTGTAAATAAAACTGAGTTAATCAACACCTGAAAGAATGAAAGCAGTAACTACAGAATTGGCTACATAATGGCTACTTTTAGCATAGATGTATGTTTTAAGAATTTATTCAGGAAAATTAAGCTCGCTTCTTTCACATATGGGATATTCAAATTTCCCTTCTTGACAGATTGCTCGAAATGATGGTGATGATATCTTCGCTTTATATAGGAATTTACACTGAAATTCAACAGTATCCCCTGTTTTTACATAAAGTTTTTCATTGTTTTTCCATCTTAACTGTATGTTATTTTTGTTCATGTTTTCTTCAGATATCACACATGGATCTGAAAGAAGAAATGGTACAATAAAATAAATAAATAATAATACATCTTTACCTTTCATAGAATAGCGAAATTGCATTTAAGAGTATTTTGGAATTAAAATGATGAAAAATATTAATATTTATTTAAAAATAATATTGATTGAGTTATTCTTGGTGTTGTTCTTAGCACTGTGTATGGGCTACATACGAGGAAATGAATGCTAAGAGATTTTCTCAAGGCCACACAGTTTAGTCAGTGTTTTGAGCCAGAATATGGATCCTGCCAGTATGAGTTCAGAGCCTGAGCTCTTAATTGCTATACTTTACTAAAAATTCTACCAGCATGAATGTTGTTTGTTTAGATATCCCTTTTTATTATGTAACTATCTGTGAATCTTAACTTTTGTGAAACTTTGATTTCTGTAGGAAAAACAGTGTTATCTTCTTCCCTGACCACAGGTATCACTCATTCTTTCTTAAAATCAGTATTTTATATATATTTATATATATCTTATATAAATATATACTATATAATATAATTTGTATATATAACACATACCATTATATGTATGTTAATTGTAATATATGTTTGTTAATTTTATACATATAATGTTACATACAATTTATATCTAATGTAATGTAATCAATTTATATCTAATGTATAAATATATATTTGTATATTATATAGTAAATATAATATATATAACATATTATATGAATACATATATTATGTGTATTATGTGTATAGGTGTATTCACATATGTTAAAAATGTATGTAATATGTAATATATATTTCTATTATGTATACACACATGTATATGTAATTATACACTTTTATATATATTAGAGTGCTTAACTCCCCATATCCTTGCCAAATCTTTATGTTATATATTTTTTTCTTTTTGCCAATTTCCTAGTTGAATGTTGCCGCTTCATTGAAATTTTATGTTGGTGTAGACAAGCATTTTTTCATGTTTGCCGTATGTTTTTCATTTTCTGTTTATGTACCCTACATATTTTTTATATTGAATTTTGATTGATTTGTAAATATTCTTATGTGTCAAGCACCTGAGAATATTCCCCATAAATTGAGAAATTCTGAAGTTATCTTTAACCCCTCTTTCATTTGGTTCCTGTTTTTTACCTACTAATCGAGACCCTAATCTATCTCTGCCAGGGCCTTAAATAATTTCCCCATATTGCATGTTTTCTTGGTATAAAATAACCACATGTTCTTAGTCAACTGATAATTTTAAAATACTACATTTGGCTGGGCGCAGTGGCTCACGCCTGTAATCCCAGCACTTTGGGAGGCCAAGGTGGATGGATCACGAGGTCAAGAGTTCGAGATCAGCCTGGCCAATATGGTGAAACCCTGTCTCTACTAAGAATACAAGAATTAGCCGGGCATGGTGGCATGTGCCTGTAATCCCGACTACTCAGGAGGCTGAGGCAGGAGAATCACTTGAACCCGGGAGGTGGAGGTGGCAGTGGGCTAAGATCATGTCACTGCACTCCAGCCTGTGTGACAGAGCAAGACTTTGTCTTGAAAAAAATAAAAATAAAAAAAGATACTATGTCAAGAAACTGCTATTAAAAATATGTAATGGCTCCCTACTTCATTCAATACCTACAAACCATCCAAAGAAATTTATGTCTGGTTTTGGAAAAAATTATTTTTTTAATGGAGTTTCGCTCTTGTTGCCCAGGCTGGAGTGCAATGGCGCAATCTCAGCTCACTGCAACCTCCGCCTCCCGGGTTCAAGCGCTTCTCCTGCCTCAGCCTCCCAAGTAGTTGAGATTACAGGCATATGCCAGCCATGCCCAGTTAATTTTGTATTTTTAGTAGAGATGGAGTTTCTCCGTGTTGGTCAGGCTAGTCTCAAACTCCTGACCTCAGGTGATTCCTCCCGCCTTGGCCTCCCAAAGTGCTGGGATTACAGGTGTGAACCACCACGCCTGGCTGGAAAAAATTATTTCTTTAGAGCTGTCTAATCTTAATCTCCTATCTCATAGGAAATAAAATTATTTTACGTTTCATATTTAGATCATGTTTCCTTGAATTGTCTAGATACCTTTGATGGGTTTTGTTGCTTGTTTGTTTTTGTAATTGTGTGTTTGTTATTGCTCAAAATATTGTTTCTTTTTGCTAGAAGGACCTTCCCACAAACTCTGATTGTCAACATGGTACACACTTTTTAAGCTACAAATTTTGTTCTTCCTTTTCTTTTGGAAATTTATTTTATGATCACTGGCCATGATAATTTCTGCCTATTTTAAATTATTGGACCACCTAAAACTTTGCTGCACTTAAAATATTAGATTACGACATTTTTGTCTATCCATCAATCCCTCCAACTTAAACCCTGGAAGTTACCTTTGAAACCTAGTTTTTCTACATTCTATCAAAATTGTTCAGATGATACTTCTGCCTTATACTAACTCAACATTTTCTGAGTTCAGTTCCCACACAATTTTAATGATATCCTGGGAGAGGGGACTCACGTAGAGTAGTGGTTTGAAGCACTGTATAGGCCATAGTGGCATTGGGGTAATTGGTTACGACAGAAGGTGGAAGAAAGAGACATCATCAGAAGGATGAATTTTCAAGACTATAAGAAACTTCTGGTCTAGCCCTGTGAATCGAGGCATTGGGCAATAGTGAGAACTGTTGCAGGAACAGATCCTTATTATCATGATGTCTCTTTTGGACACCAGAAAACAGAGAGGTTTATGGAAATTACAGTTTTCTTCCGCTTATTCTAGAGTAAACTGACGTTCATGCTTTTCCCATAATTGGTGTTATTAATTCGCCCATATTCTTTGTATCTTGTCGCTTTTAGTTTGTCATGACCAATAAAAGAATCTCCTTTTAAACCCCAAAAGTGAATCTCCAAGTTTTCATAAGGAGTCTACTATGTTAATTTTTTTAATGCCACAAAGTGCACATGAATTTGTGGAAACTTAACATGTATATTGACATTATTTTGTAGTAGAAAAAAATAGGGTGAAAAGAAGGGATAGTGAAGATTTGGAAAGTGGCTCAATAACTCTTCCAGATTTTCTATCTCTCCTGCCAGAAATTCTGGCAACATGCAAGTAAAAAGCCATGTCAGTATTAGTCAACTGGATGTTCTACTAGGGAAAGCTTTCAGGTTTATAAGTAGGACCTTATACAGTATTAAATGACAGCTTTCCTAGACCAACGTTTTTCAAATGGTCTCTGTGAGAAGTTCTCAGGTAGATGCTTATAACATGAAGATATTTAATGGTATGAGAATAGGCCCCATAAATAGCTTTGGTCTCTATTTATAGAATTTCATAATGCACCTTATCACACATAGGTCTTTAAAATTTTATTTATAGTTTTTAAAAAAATTTTTCTCACTTTGCCTAAAGCAAATTTTTCAAATGTTTCTTTGTATTTACACTTGACAAGAAAGATTTTGACTGAATGAAACTTAAGGGTTATTCTATGAAATTAGTCCATAAAAACTACATTATGAATATTAAATCTCAGATTCCGAGAGCATATGAAGAACTCACCTAGGCATCTTGGTGGTTCTGACCACTGTTTGTTTCTGCATGTTACAGTTGCAGAGCCCTGGAGTTCATAGAAGGACTGGCAACGGTACGTCACTGTTGACCATGGAGGATACACTGATAACGGGAATGAGGTGATATCTCCATTGTTAATAGATGGAGGGGGCCCACAATATGCTGTAGACTCTGGAAAATAGCATTTATTTGTTGAGAGACAGTCAGTATGTTAGTTTAAACAAAGTAATATCATAAAGCACCATGTATCATATCTTTAATATAAGGTGTCTGGAAATTCAAATAATTAATTACAGTATTTCTGTTATAAAGTCTGATTCAAAACGTATCGTAGCTCCTTTCATGTTAAAGTGAAACTCATATAAAATACTGGGAATAGCTTTTATTTAAGGCAGGAGAGACAGGTGAGTAAACTTCTGGTCTAGGTTCCTCTTCCACCCCTTAATAGTCAATTGTTATTTAATGAGGAAAGGTAACAGTAAACAACTTTCTTACCATTTCTAGTCTCAGGGTAATTATTACTTTATGCAAATAGCATATACCAACTAGTATATGATCATAAACTTGTAGTTTTACTGAAAATGAATTGCAGACATACTCTTCTGCATTTACTTTTTTGATACCACATAATATTGTAGGCATCTTTCCTTATCCGTAAATGTTTCAATTTCATGCTAATGAAGAGATTTGGGGGAAAACTAAAAAAAAAAACAACTTCATGCTAAGATTGGTTGGAATACATTCCATTGTACTGACTGGTCTCCCTTTATATATCACCAAGAACATAAATATGAAATCACTAAGTAATCCTGTTCCAAATAACTTGTACCTCCTCTTGTTTCGTTGAGTTACTGTCCCTGCTTTCTCAGATTGACTTCTTCATGAGGACACTAGATTCTTTAGCCTTTAAACTAGTAAAAGACCCTTCTTCATGAATTATCTCCTTTCTTCTGTAACATCAATTTCTCCCTCTCCACTTAACCATTCACCAACCTACAAACATGCTGAAAATGTCACAATTCAATAAGGTAAAATTTCACTTTATCCATATCTTCTATCTGGCAACTGCCTCATTTCTCTATCCCCTTTCGAATACATTTACTTGTTTCTCATCCTCCACGATCTTACTTTATCACCCCACATTCTTTCTTGAACACAGTGCAATTATTTACTCACTCCCTATGGAAATACCTCTAGGCAAAATTACCAATGGTTTTTATTTAGTTAAATAGATTGTTCAATTATCAGACATCTTGTCCAGCGCTAAGCACTCCTTGATGTAGCTGATGTACTGTCAGGTAATATTTTGAAATACGTGTTTTTGAAATGCAGCCATGTAGCACTTAATGACAAGAAGATATTCTGAGAAATGTGTCATTAGGCTCTTTTTTCCTTGTGTGAGCATCATGGAGTGAGCCTACACAAACCTAGATAATGTAGTCTACTACACACCTAGGCTATGTGGTGTAACCTATTGCTCCTGTTGTCCCCAAACCCCTGGCTGCAGACCAGTACCCTCTGTGGCCTCTTAGGAAGTGGGCTGCACAACAGGAAGTGAGTGGTGGGCGAACGAGCACTACTGCCAGAACTCTACCTCCTGTCAGATCAGCCGGGGCACTAGATTCTCATGGGATCTTGAACCCTATTGTGAACTGCACACGCAAGGGATATAGGTTGCATGCTCTTTATGAGAATCTAATGCCTGATGATCTGAGGTGGAGCAGTTTCATCCTGAAAACATCCCCTAACCTCCTCAGTCCATGGAAAAATTGTCTTCCACAGAACAGGTCCCTGATACCAAAAGGGTTGGGCATCACTGTCCTAGGCCACAAACCTGTACAGCATGCTACTGTACTGAATACTATAGAGCCATTGTGACATGATGGTAAATATTTGCATATCTAAACATATTTAAACATAGAAAAGGTACAGTAAAAATATGTTAGAAAAGATTTTTAAGAAGATGTAGAAATTTCAAACTTGTTTCTTCTATGAACACTGTTGAAGATAACGCATAGAGAAACTTTTTAAATGACAGAATTGGTTACTTAGCAATTTAAGGCTTTAGGGTACAGTGCAATAGATTAGTCATAAGTTCTTTTTTCTTTCTTTAGATAAAGCAAAGGGGAATAATAACCTCTTTTTAAGTGAAATTACTTAGAAATAAACTACTAACCAACACAGTGTGGTAATGATTGCCATCGTCCATTTTTACATACAATTTCTTTTGCTTCTGGAAGTAGATAGTTTTCTTTACAGAGAACAGCTACTTTTTCTCCATCCTGATAATTCACTGTGGTTGTCATATTCTGAGCATTAGGTATCTGAGGTGGCGGTGGGCAGAATTGTTCCTTTTTTTCTACAAAATATTGGAATTAAATTATATGATTAATAAAAGTTAAGAAAAAAGCTCAACAGGGTAGTGTTTCAGGATAATGGAACATTCAATGACACACACACACACACACTATGTCTCCCTATCACTTTCTCTTTCTCTCTCCCTATATATAAATGTTATAATAACAAATATTTTTTGTGTCACTATAGTTTACAGTTTAAAAAGTGATTGTTTTTGTTATAACCATTAGTTTAAAATTTTTCAGATGCTCTCTTGCATCTCCTGTTCATTATTCCTGTCAATTCTCTTGTATGATTTACAAATAAATTTCTGTAATTTTTTTCTAACTAACCCATGTGATTCAAAAAGTTATGTACATCTAATTTAAACAATTTGGAACTAAAAATAAAAATGACGGTAATCAGAAATAACTATGACTTCCCCTAATAACTGAACCCTACATCTCAATATAGGATTTCCATGACTTGCATTTTCTTGTAAACATGAGAATGACTGGTAATGAACATAACTGGAATGCCTCCGTTGGACTAGGAATTAAATTCTTTTTTGGTTGTTTGGCTTATCTTAGGGAAAAGTTTTAAATGGTCAACTTGGATGCCAAAGCATTGTCTAAACCTCCTGACCTGGGCTCATGCCCTTACAGTGGTCTCCTTCATCTCTTCATCTCATGTTTTTCCAGAGTAGTGGCTACTGTCTACTGGCACTTCCCTTCAAAATTATTATATTGAAAGTGATAGATATCATTTTTTCCTTGCTATACTATTTTCATTTAAAAATCAAGATGGAAGAATGCATATCTACTCTTTCTTGGTTTAGCTGGATTAAAAAATATGATAATTATATACAACAGATCTTTAATAAATTATTTGAACAGAACCTGAGGTCAGTATAAAATAAGCCAAAACATACATATTGTCTAAACTAGAAATTTTTATTGGATTTTTCCTTATTTTTTCAAGCTCAGAAAGGCAAAATAGTGCAAATCTAAACAGACACTGTTCCTGTGGAAATCTAGATAGATGTCTGGGACTGGGGTCCACTGATGTGTATTTTATATTTTATATGACTTGTCCTACTGATTTACTGGTTTAAGAAAAGCGTGAACTTAAAGTACTTAATTCCAGATGCATCTGATTCTAATCAACCATTAACAAGACCAGTCTTTTGTGATCGGTCTTATTTCAGTAATTAACTGCAAAAGAAGATAAAATTAGCCTGATATTATTATTGTTAGAATACATTTTTGATTAGCAAAGTTTGGTCATGAGCTTGAAGAAAGTCTATGAGGAGCACATGAAAAGAGGATATCAGACACATTTGATTGATAGATGGGTCAGTTTTTCAATATTATTTATTCTTTAGAAGCTCTTCTACTTAGATGTCTTATTACCTCTTTGTTTAGGTATTTTGTAAACATTTTGGAAACTAAACATTTTCATTGTTTATGAATTTCTGTTTGGTGGTTTAAGTATTTTTGTTTAAATACATAGTCACAAAGATGAATACTTATTAAGTATCATCAAGACTCTTTCGAGTGAGCATCAAGGCCTGTACTGCCAATCTAGGGACTCAGCAGTTACCTGCTATCAGTCTCCTAGATGTCCCAGTGCCGGAAAACAGGGAAGCTGAAGGTGTCTGTAATCTCGAATGTACAAATAATAATGAAAATTTCATCAACAAAGTCCGAACTAAGTGACTTAGATGTTCAAATATCACACAAATACTATTGTTTTTATATTTTAGGTAAAAGAACATTACACATAATGATCTCAGTTGTCTAACTTACTTTCTTTATAGAGTTGGACATTCTCTTTAGAAATTTCTGCCTAGTATAGACACAGTCTATTTGAAACAGCACTGATATAAAAATCTGGAAACAAGCTCCAGTCTTGATTTTGACCAAATAACTTATTGAAGCCATGTATTTCTGATGCATAAAATGAGAAATTTTATTATCTTTCTCAAGAACAAGCAACGTGTGTAACAAATATTTGCCACCTAATAACGTTCTTACCTAATCTCCAGACTACTATCTACCAGCTCTTCTCAAAACTTTAAAAAAGGCTTCTTCCTTATTATGATACTTATGCCTCACAGTATTTTCCTTCTCTTTATGCTTGTAATTTATTTATGTAAAAAAATTGAACTCATATTATTATTCCCTGTATTTCAGTTTTCATCTACTCTTTGGTTGTAGAAATGTTTGTGTATGCACACCATTCTTGATTAGAGTCATCTCATTTAGACAGCTCTGCTTGTTAATCTTTTCAAAACATTAGTTTCATGGCTTGGATTAGTTGGAAATATAAGATTCTATTTCATTTTCTTCTGCTTTTACTTTTATTATCTCCTTTTCCTCCTAATATCTGAATTCATTTTTCCCCCTAGCTTTTTAGGATATACATATATACATATATAAAAGTATACATCTATAAAGTGTGTATATATATATAAAAGTATACATATATAAAAGTATATATATATATATATACTTTCATAGTGGCATTCATAGCCTTAAACTTATCTACTTTGGAAAAAGTATATATGTATACTTTTAGAATGCCACATCATTCTAAATTTTGGTTATGTTGCACCTCATAGGTTTTATTATGTGTCCTTATAATTACAACATAGTTCTTAGTATTTTAAACATTACTTTGCTAGGTTATTTGGAAGTAAATTATTTCCCTACCCAAAATGAAGGGTAAGGAAGTGGATAACTTTTTATCCACTTTTAATATTATTTGTTTGTGGTTATAAAAAGTGATCTATAGGGCTTTAATATTTGAAGTTGTCAGAATTATTTGTGGGTTCAATGGCCAATTTAAGTAAACATTTCACGGACACATAAAAGGCTCCAAACTTCTTTCCACTATCAGAATATTTCTCTTCCTCAAATAGAAAAAAATATATAATAAAATCAAATATTTTATAAACATAAAAATTTTCCAGTTGCTTTAAACAGATTGTAGTTATCATTTTGAAATCTTTATGTGTTTAACAATATATTCCAGTATTTTTCCTCACAATTTCTAATGACCTCACACCTTTTGTTATAAATTAGTATTTTATCTCATTAATGTATATTTTATATGATTTCTTTCAAATTATGATCTTGTGTGTAAACTCCTATCCTTCCTGTGGTTGAAAATTTCTTTATTTTGGAATCATTAGTCAATTATAGTGGTATACAGAATAATTGGTTGCCAGTTACTTTCACTAAGCACTTTGAAGAGATTATCCTATTTTCTTTGGCTTTTTATATTGCTGATGAGAAGTCTGCAGTCTATCTTCTGTCTTTTATTGTCATTCCTTTTTAAGCACTTTGTTTTCTCTAATTCTGGTTTATTTTAATTTAATATGGGTGCCCCATTTTATAATTACTTGTAATTTATAATCCTATTGCTCAAATTAAATGATTTGAATATAAGCCTTCGAGGAATGTGGGACTTATTCTTAGGGAAATAATTTATTACTCAAACGTATTTTCTTTCTCAGCCTACTTTTTACTCAGCCTACTGTCTGGTCCAGAATTGGCAATATCTGTTAGTTTTGTTTCACAGTTCATAATTGGGGTTTTAATTGTTTCTTAAAGTCATTGAAGATTAAGTTTTGTTCTTTTTTTACAGTTCTTTATTTCTTTTTTTCTTTCAAGGTTTTGTGAGACTGTAATAGAGTAAAAACAGCTTTACTCGCTCATCTTTACCAGAAAGACAAGGCTTTTAAAGAATAACATTTGTCCGGAAAGAGTATTATAACTAGTTTCTAACTTTACTATTAGCTTAGAAATTGTATGCCACAAAAAACATTTAATTTAAAAACATTCTAATTTCAAAATAATTTTTCTTGTAAAGAAGGAACAGCATCAACAAAATGTTTTAAACAAATCTTACCTGTGCAGTCTAGTTCAGGATTCCATTTCCCGTTTATGCAGACTGAGTGCCTGTATCCACGGATGTCTAAACATCTGTAACGTATTCTAGCATTATGATTAAATTCATTCCCAGATGCCCTGAATAACGTTTTTATATTAACTCCTGATATTTTGCACCTCTTAAGTTGGTGTGTTGCTGTAAAAAATAACATTAAATAGAAACTAAACAATTATGTCAATAAAATATCTGAAATATTAATAGCATAATTATGTTTGATGCTTTTAAGCAACATCACAAAAATTATTCTTGATCTCATTGCATAAAATGGGCAAGGCTGTTGAAAAAAGAAAAAATGAAACAAAAAACTGTATCCCATCTTTGAATGACAGGAAAGGAGGTCAGAAAGTTTTCTGAGAAATGAAAGTGCAAGATGGGTTTTCCTGGTGGGAGTTTTGACTGAAGGATAGTTCTTAGGAAGCTACAAATGAATTGTTAAAGGCTCTGAAAATGTACGCATGTATGATTGTTTTGCACTAAACTGTCTTAAATATCTTCAAAACATTTAAATAATAAAAAGAGGCAACACATGGGTAAGTCTGTAGGAAGCAAAGCATCAGTAAGAGATAAATCTAGATCCCCCTTGAGGTTCAATGACTCTCACATTTCACAAGCTCAGCAAAACCTCTGACTCAGTAAGTCAGAGTATTCTCAGGGGAAGAACTCACCGATAATAACATGACTGAGCTTCAGAACATACATTCCTAATAAGCCTACTTGTCTAAGTAGTTCTCATTGTTAAGTTTCTTTCCCATTTCCCATAAACATGTAGATCGTTATGGAGCCTTTTCCTTAGTGTGTAAAAGTTTGGGATAATGAGACATGGAGTGTGCTCTGCTACTTCTATGCTTATAGGTGTTTCTCTGCAATAGTTTCTATTTTTAATTTATCCCATATGCGGCTAGAGGTTGATGTTTGCATAAAAGTTGATGACCATGAAGATATATGATCTACATCTTCCCATAACAGAGTTCTGGCTCCTGGTAGTGGAAAACATTCCCTCACAATAGGTCATCATGGATGGCCATTGACCAGGTATTTGCCTGGGACAATGGGTGGCAACACCTACTGTAATTTTTCCCAGCAATGGGTGGGCCAATTGATAATCCAAAAGTCCACGAGATGGAGAGAGAGGCGGTTCTGTTTCAGTTTCTGTAAGGAGAACAGCAGCAGAAAGTCTGCATGTCTTTAAAGTTCAAAATTAGAGGCTTTAATGTATTGAGTTTGCTAGAGATAGAACAAAAGAGGCCAGGATCTGAGGGTGTCAGGAAGAAAACCTGCAAATACTTAAGTGTCAAGGCTGTAAGTCCTGAGGCTGCAAGGTAAGAGTAGAGCACACAGGCTGATAGACTACTACTACGTACTACTTACTACTTCTGTGGAGGAAACTGACAAACTGACCAGAAAATTAAGAATAGAAATAAGAGAATTATGGGGACAGAAAGAGCAAGGATCATGCCTAATTCCTGGGTCCTAGTCCCCTACTCTTCTTCTATGGAGGGACTCCAAACACTCTGGAATTTAATAGAACTCAAGCGACACTGTTATTTTTTAGGTTGTTCTATCTGGAACATGCTGAGGTAAAGACTGAATTAGAGCAATGAAATAAAATATATTAAATTACCATCATTTGTAGAAATACAATATCCAAATTAAATATTAGAATTAATACAGAAATTCAACAAGGTTACTGGAAACAAAATTAATGTATGCAATTAAATCACATTCTTACATATAGGAAGTATAATTATTCAAGCATATAAGTAAATAAAAGTTTCCATTCATCATACCAGAAAAATCCCATATAAACTGGTGAAGAAATCTGTGCAGTAATAACAAGAAATTCATAAAACCATATGGCAAAGTTTAATGTAAGACCTGAATAAATGAATTGACATATTTTACTTGTGAAAGGAAGAGTCAGTATCAATAAAGTTGTAATTCTAGCCAGATTTAAACACTTTATACAATCCCAATCGAAATTATAAATAATCAAATATGAAGTTTAGGAATGTTTTCTCACCAACACACATAGGAAGCTCTGTCCATAGTCCATCAATACAGGTAATCTCGTTATTTCCAATCATTGTATATTCATTTCTGCAATTCACCTCCACTGAAACTCCATGTTGATAGGGAGGGACAGACTGCTGAACATAACCATACTGAAGTTCAGGTATATATCCACATGTTTTCACTTGCTCTAAGAAAATGTAATAAAATGAGTGCTTATTCTGAAAATATTTTAAATCTATTTACATGTGTATTTATATGTAAGTGCAAAGTAATAGTAACTGTTCTGTTTAAATGTTAATATTTATTTACCAACACAAGTGGGTAAAGTTGTCCATTTTCCATCCACACATTGTATTTTCTTAGGTCCTTTTATTATAAAATTACGATTGCAATAATATTCTACTACTTCATTGTGTCCATATTCCTCTTTTCTTATCTCCTTAACTTCACCATTGGAGAGCTGAGGAGGTGGACCACACGACTGTACTCGTCCTATTATAAAGAAACCATAAATAATGCTTAAATGGTCTTATAAGTATAGCAAAATGTGGAGCTACTATATTTTTGACTTAGAAATTAATTACCTTTATATTGCACCTCTATTTTTGGGGACATGTGTTTTTTACAGTGTACATAGTGTATTGACTTCTTTCATTTCCTCAAATATTGACACTTTTCATGATGAACTATTTTGAGCAAATGAAAGGAGAAAGAATGTGTAATGAACACTTATAAACTGATTATCTAGATATAAAAATGTTACACTTTGCCCTATTTACTTATTTTTTGTGAAGTAATTGAAAGTAAATGACAGTGAGATTTTAGTCCTAAATTCTTCAGAATGCTATCTCATAAAGACATTTGCCTACATATACAAAATATCTTATTACATTTCACCAAATTAATAATATTTTCTTAGTACAATCTTATATCCTCTCTGTATTTAAACATCCTGATTGTCCATCTTTACCAATATTTTGTTGGCTGTCTATTATAATCAGGATATTAAGCTGTACTCTTGAAGATTTTTAAGTAGGTCAATAATCTGAATGCTACATAAAAGTAAATAGTTATCTAATATGTATATAATATACATATGCAATGTATAATTATAAGTTTTATTAATATCTAGAAATACTTTGACATGGTTTGGCTGTGTCCTTACCCAAATCTCATCTTGAATTGTAACTCCCACAATTCCTACATGTTGTGGGAAGAACCTAGTGGGAGGTAATTGAATTATGGGGGCAAGTCTTTCCCGTGCTATTCTCATGATAGTGAATAAGTCTCACGAGATCTGATGGTTTTATAAAGGGAGGTTTCCCTGCACAGGTTCTCTTCTCTTGTCTGCCATCATTCGAGATTTGCCTTTCACCTTCTGCCATGATTGTGGGGTGCCTCAAGCCACGTGAAACTGTGAGATCATTAAAACTCTTTCTTTTGTAAATTGCCCAGTCTTGGGTATGTCTTTATCAGCATTGTGAAAATGGACTAATACGTACTTGAAATAATGTGATAAGCCATTTTTGATAAAAATAGTGCCATCTGAAGCAGGTACAAATCATCATTGTTTTCTAATGAATAATTCATATATGCAATGACTTATTTTCTTAATTACTTAATAAAATATAATGTTGTTCATACAATATTTTTAAAATGTATAAATTTTTTATTGAGCTAGATGGAAAAGTCCTAACACATCTCAATTCCAGCTACTATATTTTGACCCATAAAATCCTACTATGTATTTTCAAACACAGAAGTAGAATTACTCCTTGATTAAGGATACCTAAATAATGGATGCAACTTAATTACTACAGAACTGCACCCTTTCTCCTTTCTAAATAAAATACTACCTTTGCATTTTACCACTTTGTCAGATTATAGATGTAATATAAGCTCCAATAAAAATATATAGGCATTATTATAAAAATCAAATTCTTGTTTCATCACTTCTAAAATAAATACTGACCTTTACATGTCGGAAAGTTGGGTGACCACCCAAATTGGTAACATTGAACTGAATCTGGTCCAACTCTTTTAAGATTTCTTCTGCAGGAGAATTTCAACACATCTCCAACTTCGTAGCTTTCTTTTTCTGGCCTAGCATCTACATTTGCTTCTAAAATTGGAACATGACATTCTTCTTCTAAAAATAAAATTAAATGAACATACATTGAATTTTCATTGCAGAAACAAATTTAATGTGTGCTATATGAAAATAAGATGCAAGGGGCTTCATATACAGAGGAGTATAAAATATATTCTTGCCTTTGAGAAAACATATAAAGTAATTATTTATATCCCGACTATATCTAAGACCCCTCAGGCAAATTGGGAAATTGCAGCAAGGTAACATTTTCTAGGAGGACCTCTTCAGGATTGTAATAAGAAAGTCTGTGAAGTTACTAATACAGTAAATTATTTCATTTGTTTAATTAGCAATATGAGTTTTAATTTTGTTGTTTAATAAGTAAGTTTAATAACATTATTTGTTTATAATACAGAATATGAAGGTTTTTTCACACTTAAATCACAAAAAAATCCTTCAAGTAACAAAATCAAATTGCAACATATTTAATTACTTTTTGTAAAATAAAAAAAAGATGTATATAAAGCAGGTATGTGGGCCGGACATGGTGGGTCATGTCTGTAATCCCAGCACCTTGGGAGGCCAAGGAGGGTGGATCACCTGAGGTTAGAAGTTCGAGACCATCCTGGCAAACATGTTGAAACCCTGTCTCTACTGAAAATGCAAAAATTAGCCAGGCACAGTAGTGGGTGCCTGTAGTCCCAACTACTATGGAGGCTGAGGCAGGAGAATCACTTGAACCCAGGAGGCAGAGGTTGCAGTGAGCCGAAATCGCACCACTACACTCCAGCCTGGGTGACAGAGTGAGACCCTGTCTCAAAAAAAAGTAGATATGTGAAACACCAAAACAGGATACAACTAATAAATGTTAAGTTGAAGGGAATATTAAAAAGCAAATTATTCTCAATTTTACAAAAGGGTAACTAAATAAAAGACTTTTAAAAAACCCATCTAGGTTTTTTGAATCTTTCCATTGTACTCAACTCTATCACTAATATGTTTGTAAAAACTAACTCATTATGAATATATTCTGATTCAATTAGAAATAGATATGTATATGAATGTGTGTAGTTTTCTTATTTAATAATCTTTCATTAAAGATTAGTTTATACAATTATATATTCTTATGTAAAAATAATTGACATTCAAGACAAACGAAATAATCTGAAGAAATCAAGCATACACAAAAATAAAATTGAAATATTTTCTAACAAATAATCTCATAAATATTTTCAAACTAGCTAGTTTTATGTAGTGTTATTGGCACTTTAATGTATTGATCACAGTTTACTTGAGCAAATCCCAAGAGAATGTGCCTTATTTCAATAAAATAAAATATGTATCCCTAAATCTCTGTTTTTTATTCCAGTATTTTGTGTGGCAGCTCTTTATTGGTTGTTTATAGTCTTTTTTTTTTTTTTTATCTAATTGTTAAAGACAAAATGCCATTGAAAATAATTGATCTTATTTCTGTTCTAAGATGGTTGAATAGGAACAGCCCTGGTCTGCAGCTTCCAGCGTGATAGATGCAGGAGATGGGTGATTTCTGAATTTCCAATTGAGGTGCCTGGTTCATCTCATTGGGACTGGTTGGACAATGGATGCAGCCGATGGAGGGGAAACCAAAGTAGGGTAGGACATTTCTTCCCTGGGAAGTGCAAGCAGTTGAGGGATTTCCCTTTCCTAGCCAAGGGAAGCTGTGACAGACTGTACCTGGAAAATCGGAACACTCATGCACAAATACTGTGCTTTTCCAGTGGTCTTAGCAAATGGCACACCAGGAGACTGTATCCTGTGCCTGGCTTGGTGGGTACCATGCCCACAGAGGCTTGCTCACTGCTAGTGCAGCAGTCTGAGATTGACCTGTGATGCAGCAGCCTGGCAGGGGGAGGGGCACCCTCATTACTGAGGCTTGAGTAGGTAAACAAAGCAGCTGGGGAAGCTTGAACTGGGCAGAGACCACTGCAGCTCAGCAAGGCCTGCTGCTTCTGTAAACTCTATCCCTGGTGCCAGGGCATAGTTGAACAAAAGGCAGCAGAAACTTCTGCAGACTTAAATGTCCTCGTCTGACAACTCTGAAGAGAGCAGTGGTTCTCCCAGTACAGTATTTGAGCTCTGAGAAAGGACAGACTGTCTCATCAAGTGGGTCCCTGTCCCACATGTGGCCTAACTGGGAGACACCTCCCAGTAGGGGCCAACTGACACCTCATACAGGTGGGTGCCCTGCTGGAATGAAGCTTCCAGAAGAATAAGCAGGCAGCAATCTTTGCTGTTCTGCAATATTTGCTGTTCTGTAGCCTCTGCTGGTGATACCCAGGCAAACAGGGTCTGGAGTGGACCTCCAGCAAAATCCTACAGAACTGCAGCTGAGGGACCTCACTGTTAAAAGGAAAACTAACAAACAGAAAGAAATAGCAGCAACATCCACAAAAAGGACATCCACAACAAAACTCCATCTGTAGGTCACCAACATCAAAGACCAAAGGTAAATAAAACCACAGAGATGGGGAGAAACCAGAGCAGAAAAGCTGAAAATTCTAAAACCAGAGTGCCTCTTCTCCTCCAAAGGATAACAGCTCCTCACCAGCAATAGAACAAAGCTGGACAGAGAGTGACTTTGATGCACTGACGGAAGTAGGCTTCAGAAGGCTCGTAACAACAAACTTCTCCAAGCTAAAGGAGGATGTTCAAACCCATCGCAAGGAAGCTAAAAACCTTGAAAAAATATTAGATGAATGGCGAACTAGAATAAAAAGTGTAGAGTAGACCTTGAATGACCTGATGGAGCTGAAAACCATGGCATGAGAAATACGTGACGCATGCACAAGCTTCAGTAGCTGATTTGATAAGGTAGAATAAAGGGTATCAGTGATTGAAGATCAAATTAATGAAATAAAGAAAGAAGAGAAGTTTAGAGAGAAAAGAGTAAAAAGAAATGAACAAAGCCTCCAAGAAATATGGGACTACGTGAAAAGACCAAATCTACATTTGACTGGTGTACCTGAAAGTGAGAGGGAGAATGGAATCAACTTAGAAAACACTCTTCAGGATATTATCCAGGAGAACTTCCCCAACCCCCAAGGAGGAGCTGGTACCATTCCTTCTGAAACTATTCCAATCAATAGAAAAAGAGGGAATCCTCCCTAACTCAGTCTATGAGGCCAACATCATCCTGATACCAAAGCCTGGCAGAGACACAACAAAAAAAGAGAATTTTAGACCAATATCCCTGATGAACATCAGTGCAAAAATCCTCAGTAAAATACTAGCAAACCAAATCCAGCAGCACATCAAAAAGCTTATCAACCATGATCAAGTCAGCTTCATCCCTGGGATGCAAGGCTGGTTCAACACAGGCGAACCAATAAATGTAATCCATCACATAAACAGAACCAATGACAAAAAACACATGATTATATCAATAGATGCAGAAAAGGCCTTTGACAAAATTCAACAGCCCTTCATGCTAAAAACTCTCAGTAAACTAGGTACTGATGGAACATATCTCAAAATAATAAGAGCTATTTATGACAAACCCATAGCCAATATCATACTGAATGGGAAAAAACTGGAAGCATTCCCTTTGAAAACTGGCACAAGACAGGGATGCCCTCTCTCATCACTCCTATTCAACATAGTGTTGGAAGTTCTGGCTAGGGCAATCAGGCAAGAGAAAGAAATAAAGGGTATTCAATTGGGAAAAAAGGAAGTCAAATTGTCTCTGTTTGCAGATGACATGATTGTATATTTAGAGAACTCCATCGTCTCAGTCCAAAATCTCCTTAAGCTGATAAGCAACTTCAGCAAAGTCTCAGGATACAAAATCAGTGTGCAAAAATCGCAAGCATTCCTATACACTCATAACAGACAAACAGAGAGCCAAATCAAGAGTGAACTCCCTTTCTCAATTACTTCAAAGAGAATAAAATACCTAGGAATCTAACTTACAAGGGATGTAAAGGACCTCTTCAAGAAGAACTAGAAACCACTGTTCAACGAAATAAAAGAGGACAAAAACAAATGGAAGAACATTCCATGCTCATGGATAGGAAGAATCAATATCATGGAAATGACCATACTACCCAAGGTAATTTATAGATTCAATGCCATCCCCATCAAGCTACCACTAACTTTCTTCACAGAATTGGATAAAACTACTTTAAAGTTCATATGGAACCAAAAAAGACCCTGCATTGCCAAGACAATCCTAAGCCAAAAGAACAAAGCTGGAGGCATCATGCTACATGACTTCAAACTATACTACAAGGCTACAGTAACCAAAACAGCATTGTACAGTATCAAAACAGAGATATAGACCAATGGAACAGAACAGAGGCCTCAGAAATAACACCAGACATCTACAACCATCTGATCTTTGACAAACTTGACAAAAACAAGAAATGGGCAAAGGATTCCCCTATTCAATAAATGGTGCTGGAAAACTGGTTAGCCCATAATGGTGAAAGCTGAAACTGGGTCCTTCCTTTACTTATACAAAAATTAATTCAAAGATGAATAAAGACTTAAATGTTAGACATAAAAACCATAAAAACCCCCTAGAGGAAACCTGGCTTTACCATTCGTGACCATAGGCATGTGGCAAGGTTCTTCATGACTACAAACACCAAAAAGCAATGGCAACAAAAGCAAGACATAGACAAATGAGATCCTAATTAAAAGTAAACGAGCTTTCTTGTACAGCAAAAGAAGCTACCATCAGGGTGAACAGGCAACCTACCCAGAATGGGGAGAAAAATTTTTGGCAATTTACCCACTGACGAAGGACGCTAATAGCCACGAATCTACAAAGAACTTAAACAAATCTACAAGAGAAAAACAACCCCATCAAAAAGTGGGCAAAGGATATGACAGACGCTTCTTAAAAGAAGACACTTTATTCAAGCCAACAGACACATGAAAAATGTTCCATCATCACTAGTGCCATCAGAGAAATGCAAATCAACCACAATGAGATACCATCTCACACCAGTTAGAATGGCAATCATTAAAAAGTCAGGAAACAACAGGTGCTGGAGAGGATGTGGAGAAACAGGAACACTTTTGCACTGCTGGTGGGAGTGCAAACTAGTTCAACCATTGTGGTAGACAGTGTGGCGATTCCGCAAGGATCTAGAACCAGAAATACCATTGAACCCATGGTATACTCATTACTGAGTATATACCCCATAGGATTATAAATCATGCTGCTATAAAGACACATGCATGTATATGTTTATTGTGCTAGTATTCACAATAGCAAAGACTTGGAACCAACCCAAATGTCCATGAATGATAGACTGGATTAAGAAAATGTGGCATATATACACTATGGAATACTATGCAGCCATAAAAAAGGATGAGTTCTTGTCCTTTGCAGGGTCATGGATGAAGCTGGAAACCATAATTCTGAGCAAACTATCACAAGGACAGAAAACCAAACACTGGAAGTTCTCACGCACAGGTGGGAATTGAACAATGAGAACACTTGGACACAGGGTGGGGAACATCACACACTGGGGCCTGTTGTGGAGTGGGAGGTAGGGGGAGTGATAGCATTAGGAGAAATACCTAATGTAAATCACGGGTTAATGGGTGCAGCAAACCAATATGGCACATGTTTACTTTTGTAACAAACCTGCATGTTGTGCACATGTACCCTAGAACTTAAAGCATATATAAAAAAAGAAAATAATTGATCTTGGCCGATGTAGTATTTCTAGTTGCTTTATTCGTATATCGTTATTGCATGGTGGTGTAAATGGAATAACGACCCCCAGATATGGCACTCTACTAATCCCTGCAACATGGATTACCATAACTTGTAAGATGTTACCTTACACGAATAAACAGACTGTGCAGCTAAGCTGTCATCAGGAGTCTAGTTGCCCTGAAACTTTATTAACTCTCCACGGTGTTCGTGAGCTATCATTCAACCTTGGACATAGAGTGTTCTGCTGAATTCTTCCTCTTTGGAGACTCTGACTTCTTCCGTCTACTCTGGCAACCTCAATATGTTGTCTTGTGCTTTTGGAATAAGCAACGGGCAGAAAGGGAAAGGTAGCAATATTCTGAGAACCTGAACAACAAGATGTGCTTTTTCTGATTAAATAAAATCTACCAAATTTTGAAACAAGTTTATTCTGACAACTCAGTTTCTAAATGTCATTGCCCACTAAATGGAACCAGGGCTTATTGGAGGTATGGCTGATTCCAGTTCCGGGGCAGTGGAAACATGACTTAAGTCTTAGATATTTTTTGTGTCACAAAGCAACCGAATTGTTCAAAGACTAACAAAATCTTACGGACTGCACACAGAGCCAGCTTGTATGGGTTACAGCTGGCCAAACTTAATTTGTCAAGCTTCTAAAATGTAATTGTTGGGCTGACAATAGCCATCATCTCTCAAAATGAAGAGAGCTTGTTCATGACATGAACAGGTATGGACAAGAGAAAGCGTGGAAATATTTATACCATAATTGAAGCCTATAAATTTTGAACCCTTTTCAATCACTGGAATTTTCTAGTTTTGGTAACATTTGTTATTTTATTTCTTTTTGCAAATGTTAATAATGTTTTAACCCCTTGTAATTGAAAGAGACCAGGACTTAACTGTTTACTGAAAAAGTATCACAGTTCCAGCTGTTTTAAAAAGACTCCATTTCTAGAGGTTTAAATTTCATTTTGCTTTACTTTGTTTTGTTTTTCTAGTGGGGAAGGTTCTCACTCTGTTGCCCAGGTTGGAGTGCACTGGTGCAGTCATAACTCACTTCAGCGTTGAACTCCTGTTTCAGCCTTGCCAGTGGCGGGGACTACGGGTGCACATCACCGTGCCCAGCTCTAGATGTTTGAATTTAAGAATTGAAGATGTGGAATAATATTTGATAACATACCATCTTTTGAAAAACATACCATAGATTTTATTTCTTGGTAGGATGGAGTAGTTGCTATCAACATACCATCCCACTGAAAAAAAATTTAGAAAATTTTACAAAATTTATTTTCAGAACGCTGGAAATCACCCAGTTCAGGACTGTGATGACTGAAAAAAGGAAAAAACCCTCAATACCTCAAAATAGTAAAGCAAAGTCAATGACAGCCCCAGTTGTGTGTTGGGAGGCCTTTTCTGGACTGTGCAAGGAGCGAGAAACCAGGAAGAACGTAGTGGTCTTCTTTAGTTGAGACTAGTAAGGTCAGTCTTGGAGACTGTGGTGGCCAGAAGTTACTGGACATAGTAGCAGAGAGAAAGTATTATGAAGAGAAAGAGCTATGGAAGTTTCCTTAAGTTTTTGGTTGAATACTGAGCTGTGCAAGCACAGGATGAAATTGCATTGGGCTGGGCAAAGAACAATTACTGAAGAACTGTAAAGACGAAGAATTACAAGAGTTCACACAGGACTGGGAGTTGCCATCATTTATACCACAGGCTTCCAAAAGAATCGTTTCCCAAGTTCTAAGCTGCTCACAAATAAACATACCTCTCAGAAGTACGGACTTTTTACAACTTAGAAAATGATTTATTGACTCAAACATATTAATTTAAATAAAGATAAATACTAAAAACTTCCTTATAAGACATTTTAACTGTAATTGGACTTATTTGTACTTTAATATCTCAGTTTTGTAACCATTTATTGTGAACTAACTTGATAATATAAACAACAAACAGGTGTTACATTAATGGATTATCTTCAAAGTGTATTCTTCTCTAATATTTCTTCTTCTTAAGTACATTTGATTTATATAGGTAGGCAAACTATGTTATTGCACATCTCCTTAGACAAAATTGGAACTGAAAATCAAATAAATAATGATAGAAGTAGTGGTGAAACCTATATTTAACCTATATTTAATCTATAAACAATAGACTTATTTCTTTAAATAATTAGCAAAACTGAGAGGGCAGTATTTTGCTTACTAGTGAAGCTGCATTTGGGAGGAGCGGACCAGCCCCGTTCTACACATGAAATGCTTTTCTCCTTGTTTTGAAGGCTGTATCCTGCGTTGCAAACAATTTGTACAGTATCACCTTCCAGATGTATTTGTCCTGAAGATTCAGAATGACCATTTTTCACAAAAGGAAAGGAACACATTCCTAAGGACCAAAAATTGATTAATGTACAAGATGGAAGTAGTAAAAAAAGTGCATTTTAAAATATTTTATTAAGAAAGGAAAACTTTGAAAACTGACATAGTGTGTAAATTTTCAAAATAATTTAGGTCATGCTATTGTATAAATGACGAAATATATTTTTGTTCCTATATATGTACATATAAAAGAAAGTTAATATTTCATATTGTTGCTGTATGGTTTTTATAACAAAATATCTTGTGTTTATAAACTCTTCTAGGGACAAAACCATATCTTCATATAAATATTTCTCACAATTCCCATAAACGTTTCTTACAAAAGGAGAAAGATCATTACTATGTCCTTTGTTGCCTCATCTAATCTCTCTCCCATTGTTTTTCTTCTTTAATACACCTGTTGTCATTGGAGTCTGGTCTCTATATTTATTGGAGTATTAATACAGCTACACTTGGAAGGACCAAATAAATGATTTATTGAAAATATAAAAGTTAAAATACCAAACCTTACCTTGCAATATGCAAGAGAATGGTAAATTCAAAACAGAATATCTATACAAAATGACTTATTTTAAAGGAAAACTATGATCAGGCTGCTGCCAAATGAATATTAGTAAAGAAATATTAGCAGTCAAATATATTAATCATCAGTCTAAAACAATTAATATATTTCAACATGTAGAGCATTTCCAGGTAATGCAAGACAGTTGATATGTTTATTCTTCATTGATTCTCATAGGAGGCATCTCAAACTAGGAGGACTACATCTCCCATCTTTGCAGCTCCTCTGGTCACTGCCCCTGTGCTTATCAAGACCTTATGATCTTGTCTGGCACATCCTTCTTTATTCACTGAATGACATCCATTTAATGAACAGGGCATTTACTCACTGAGACACTTTGGTGTTGGTGACCATCCTTCTTCCGTGCATGTTATGCGAGTCCAAAAGGATTTTGACGGAGACACAAAATTATATTCACAGGAGTAATAGAAAACTTCCCCTATAGGAACTTGGGAAAATGGCTTATAATTTTCTTCGTCATACAGAAATCCATGGCGTATTTTTGGAAAATCACAAAGTGTTGCTGGGAAAAATAACACAAAACTGAAGAATTAAATAAAAAACTACATTAATGAATCACTAGATTGTATTTTAATCATCTCATTTATAGTTTTGTTTTTCATTCAACTTAAATGCCTTTAGCTTAAATGCTTTCCAGTGTACTAATTTGGAATGAAGAAAGATCACTAAATAAGAATACAAGAGTATTTAAGGAAGTCATTTTATTTTATTTTTTTTTTTGAGGGGGAGTTTCAGGTTTCACTCTTGCTGCCCAGGCTGAAGTGCAATCGTGCAAATCTTGGCTCACTGCAGCCTCCACTTCCCAGGTTCAAGCGATTCTCCTGCCTCAGCCTCCTGAGGACCTGAGATTACAGGTGCCTGCCACTACACCCGACTAATTTTTTTGTATTTTTAGTAGAGACAAGGTTTCACCATATTGGCCAGGCTGGTCTTGAACTCCTGACCTCAGGTGATCCATGCACCTTGGCCTTCCAAAGTGCCGGGATTACAGGCGTGAGCCACCATGCCGGACCGAGGAAGTCATTGTTAATGAATATAAAATTTATATTTTGGGGTGATATGAAATCTGAACTCTTCTGCAATGTCTTCAAGAACAATATCCTCACACAACAATTTAAGAATGAAAGTAGACTGTACGAGTGGCAAATCTCCCTGATCAGTGTAGTGTACAGTAGAGGAGTGATAGGATTACTCTCAGCTCTCAGATTTCTTTCTTTTTCTATACTCATCGACTGTCATAGGTATCTCCACCAGAAAAATCTGTTCTATTTTTTTTTTCTGGTGCAGTAAAAGTGTTGGGTAGGTAATTTGATTTTTTGCTTATTAATATTCTGATTACTTTCTGGTTACAAAGTTTATATAGCTTTTGTGGAAATAATTTAGAGAGTATAAGAAAATCACTAAGAACAACTCAACTAAGATAAAATTAAAGCTAAATTCTGGTAATTGCTGTATATATAAATGTTTGTTATACTGCAGGTCCAAAACATCTGAAAAAGAAAAAACAATAAAAAGATAATAAAATGATAAAATAATGCAATTAAAAATACAATATAACAATTATTTATATGGTATTTATATTATATTAGATATTATAAATAATCTAGAGATTATTTAAATTATATGGGAGGATGTGCATATGTTATATGCAAATACTACACCATTCTCTCTTAGAGACTTGAGCATCTGTGGATTTGGTTATCTGCTGGGGGTGAAAAGAGTCCTGGAACAATTCCTTGAGGATACTAAGGATACTGAGGATACTACTGGATATATGTATATAGACACTTACACATACATCCATACCCACTGTGGTGCAAGATATATTAAAACAATGTAGAAAATGGGTGAAATCCTCATGTTTTGACTCTATTTTTTTGTGTATATATATTTTATATGTATACACATATTTTTTATTAGACTTAATTTTTATTTACAGTTTTTTCACAGTAAAATTGAGTGGAAGTTACAGAGATTTCCTATATAACACTTCCTCTTCCCTGCCACATGAATAGCCCCCTTCCCCATCAATATTATTGTCATTCAAAGTCCATAGTTTACATTGGGGTTTACTCTTGATATAGTACATTCTATGGATTTGATGTACTTTATCTTTCAATGCTTTTTTAGCTCAAGATATTTCCTCAATATAGTGTGCTCATTTTTTAGCTCAAGATATTTTCTCAATATAGCATTGCTGCGTAAGAAATTGTTTTGTTTCTCACCTTATTTAGAAAAAGCATGCAGAAATTCAGCTGACAATCAAGGGAAATTTCTCTTTTTAATCTACCTAGAAGTAATGTTTAATGTTGCACAATATTTGAAATACTTCTTGTGGTATTTAACCTTGTGAAACCTTAAATTTATTACCTAACTGTTTAAAAATTGACATTAGATAGTTTTGGGGAAGATATTGAGGGAAAGACTCCCTCGTGTCTTGATAGTATTAACCTATCATAACTCCTTTTAAATATCCTTTGCTCCTCGAAAATTGCAGTTATAGTACTTGATTTTCATACATTTGTACTAACATATTCTTCACTATACAGAATAACTTTGTTCTCATCATCCAGTTGTATTCTACCTATCCTTCAGAACTTGCTCTACAACACGCATCCTATAACCATTGTGCACATCCGCAATGGTGCTAGCTAAGAGTGTTATTGTCCTTTTGCAAGCTTACCATTACACGATCTCCCACTTCAAAAGCAGAAAATAATTTTCTTTGTCTCAACATTCTGATAGAATACTATGAATACATTTCTTCTGAGAGAGAGATATATATATATATATACACACACACACACACGTATACATGTATACACACACACACATATATACAGACATACAGTCATTTATCACATAATGACATTTTGGTCAGTGACGGATCACTTATATCACAGTGGTCCCATAAGATTATAATGTAGCTGAAAAATTCCTATCAACTGATGACCACCACAACATCACAGTCCAATGTATTACTCACATGTTTGTAGTGATGCTGATATAAACAAACCTACTGCATTGCCAGTCATATAAACAATAGCACACACAATTATGTATGGTGCATAATACTTGATAAAGATAATAAATGACCATGGTACTAGTTAATGTATTTAATGTACTATAGTTGTTATCATTATTTTATAGTTTACTCCTTCTACTCATTTAAAAAAATAACTGTAAAACATCCTCAGGCAGGTCCTTCAGGAACTATTCCAGAAGAAACCTTGGTTATCACAGGAGAGGACAGCTCCATGTGTGTTACTGCCCTGAAGACCTTCTAGCGGAACAAGAGTGGAGGAGGAAGACTGTGGTACTGATGATCCTGACCCTTTGTAGGCCGAGGTTAATGTGTGTGTTTGTGTCTGTTTTTAACAAAAAGGTGTAAAAGGTAAATAAATAAATAAAATATTTAAAAGATAAAATCTTACAGAATAAGAATAGAAAGAAAAAAATATTTTGTACATCTATACAAGATGTGTTTTAAGCTAAATGTATCACAAAAGAGTTACAAGTTAAAAAATTTTCAGTAAAGTAAAAAGCTTGCCATAAATTAATGTATTATTGAAGAAAAGTTTTTAAAATAAATTTAGTCTATCCTGGGTGCACCAAAAGCTCAGTAATTAGCACTAAAGAACTTATCCATGTAACCAAGAACCACCTGCTCCCCCCCAAAATATTGAATAAATATATAAATAAAATAAATTTACTCTAGCTCAAGTATTCAGTGTTTATGAAGTTTACAGTAGTGTATGGTAATGTGCTAAGCCTTCATATTCACACACCGCTCACTCAGTGACTTACCCAGAACAACTTTCAGTCTTGCAAACCCTGTTGATGGTAAGAGCCCTATATAAGTCTGCCATTCTTAATATTTTCTATTGTACTTTTATTGTACATTTTCTATGTTTAGATAAACACGTTCTTACATTTGTGCTACAATTGCCCACAGTATTCAGTACAGTAACATGCTGTACAGGTTTGCAGTCTAGGAGTGACAGGCCATATAGCCTAGTTAGGTAGTAGGCTATACAATCTAGGTTTGTATAAGTACACTCTGTTATGTCTGCAGGAGGACAAAATTGCCTAAAGACACACTTCTCAGAACGTTTTCCTATCATTAAGTGATGCATGAGTGTACACACACACACACACACACAAAATCACCTGTATATAAAACCTTGCAATTTATTTGCCTATTTACATTTTGCTTTTCTTTTAGGACCTTCTAAGTAGTAGGGAGGCATGGGTGGGGTTGTCATATTCTTTCTAGCTTCTTTGCTACAGCATGAAGCACAATATATTGCTTGATTAATGTTTTCCTGCTGGAAGCATGCAGTTTTCTGTTTGTACAAAAGTGTTGCTTTCGTGTGTTATTTCTGCTGTTTGGCCAGTTTCTAAATAGACACCAAAATAAAAGTGTAACGCACACTTACAGGTCATTTAACACCTAGACAATTTTTAGACAGAATTTCACTAAAGTTTATCCTGGGACTGGACTAAAGTTTGAAATTTTTTTGTTGGATTAGGAATTGTCAAAATTCTACATATTATCCTCATAATTTTCACTTACCTTCCTCTGCTTCCACCCCCATTTAGAAATCCTTGTGTAATGCCATTTGTAACAGATGTTTAAGCCACTTAATAAATATCATAAACACAGACTTAAGAAAAATCAAATACACTCATACAATCGCACTCCTGTGATTACAACTCAGTACTAAAAGTGAAAACAAAATTAAATGAATTTCAGGCCCATAGGAATAATGTTTTGCCACATTTGTAAGGGCATATCTTAAAAAGAAAGTATTTTATTGTTCATATTTTTCTCTTATGTCAGGACTGAGAAGGAAGTGTTCAAAAAAATTTAAAGATCTGTAAACATTAGAAAGCAGTAAAGCAGTAAAAGAAAAGCTTTCTGGAAATCAAAGAGTATAGCACAATGACTGAAACTCCATGTACACACATAGTTTAATCAGTATCCTAGACCCTGTTAGAGATTTTATTTGCAATTCTTTTGATATGGTGGCTTTAATTTTCACATGAAATAAAATAGGATAGTTTATAATGTTATAAGAACCAGTATATAGTATTAATAAAGAGGTGATATATTATTTCACTTTTGAAATTTGTGGAAGAGCTCAGAAGAAACAGTTTTTTGGCAGTTCACTGGTTTACATATAAAAATAATATTTTCTATTGTTTCATTAAAATATATTTCCCTGTTGAATTATAATTAGACTGAAATGATAATTCCTTCATTTTAATAACATTTAAAATTTAAATTATCAAATCTATGAAAATAAAATTCTAAAAACATATTGAAGGTGGCCGAATCTTTTTGGGGTTGATTTTTCCAGTCAGTGGCATTGCGGAGTTTATGCAGAATTACATTAATATTTCACCTTGTCACCTTTATTATAGCAGATTTTCTCTCATTTGATTTCTCTTTACATTATCTATTTGGTGACCATTTACCCTTTGCAAACTAGAGAATGGAGAGAATTAACTTCATTTTATTTTCCTACTAACTGCATGTTGGAAAATATTTCCAGAAAATAGATGAATATTATGATACCCTTTCAAATTATCCTCAGCTATTTATTCATTTAAAAATAATCTTATGCATATACACACACAATCAACAAATACATTTGAAAAGGAACTAAAATATTCGGATCTGTTTTCAACTTACCTTCTCCCCCAACAGTGGTTACCCATGAGATTAGGATTACACTGAATAAGAGCAACATGCTTGGTAGTCCCAATCACATATAACTAAAAGTACTCCAATGATGGTGGTGTTACTTTAAATTAACAGTTATGAACATGACTTTGTATTTCAGTATACTAACGGGAAGCTACTTTAGTAAATCCCTTTGTGGAAAATATCAAAGTTCATGGAGGGTTGTGTGAAATAAGCAAATAGTGTCTAATCAGTGTTTTCACAAAAATGTTCTCAACTCATTATGTAATGTTTATTTGAGCAAAATAACTGCTGTTCAATTTCCTTGTTGTAGTCACCGAGTCTCTCAGTTTGGAATAATCAGAAATAACTGTTTAGAGGAGACAGGAAGCTCCCCCCTGCCTTTTTTTTTTTTTTTTCTTTTTTTCTAGCCAAGGGTTCAGCTGTTTCAAAAGGCAAGCAAGTGCAAGTCGTCACTCCTCATCTTAATACAACATCACTTTTGTAGTCGTAAATTTCTTTTAAAACTGGCACTAATAATTAGGTACCTCCTTAACAGTTTTAATATTTCATAAACTATAAAAGGTCTAATCAAGAATAATTTTTGCCAAGTAATGTTTCCTGAAATGTTTGAAGGAACAAAATTATAATTCAAAATCATTTTGTTCAGGTGGGACTTTGAGAATGGCTTTGTGAGGGTCTTGGTATATTCACTCCCCACCAAAAGGCAGCAATAAAACTGGATACAATTTTAAAAGTAACCATTGGTTGTCTCTGGAAACTGGCCAAACAGTATAATGTTAGGAAATATTTATTCCAGAAAGTCTCCATAAAATTCAGTAAAAGAGAGCAATCATTTCATCCACCTCTGTCTCGCAGCCCAATTCTGTGGCTCAGAAGTTGAACCCTGGATGGGCAGGCAGTCCATGTGGACTGGAAGCTCTGCTCCCTCGCTGGAGAAGAGTGACTTTATAGCTTGGAAAGGTCCACACCTGAGGATCCTATTGAATACAAAGAGATTACAGTGGGAAACAATCAGAGAAGACGAGTATGTCTAGAGGATAGTAGCTGAAGCAAGCAAAAAGTGCCCAGCCTGTGAGAAATTTAACATTTAATGGGGAAATTTCGAGAAATATACAGCCTAATGATCTCACTAAAACGAAACTTACTGACAGTGGTTCAGAAGTCAATGGGAATGCACATAGCTATGTCCAATCAAGAAACTAGAGAAGTCCCTGTGAGATATTAGTAGTCTCCACTATTGATTCTAGTCTATCTAAACCTTGTCATTTCCAATTACTACACTACCTAAAATATCTAAATATTAAGCATCACACTCTAGACCATTTCAACAATCTTTTTAGCTCACTTTACTAAATTTGTTCCAAACATTCAATGACCCTGACACTTTTTCACTATTCTTTTCCCTTCACTTTCTCTCTTCCCACCACATCTAAATTAGATTCCATGGCTCATCACTGTAAGTCAATCCCTTGCACACACTCTCCTGCCCATTCCTTCCTTTCTATCTGTAATCCAAGTCTTAGAAAACCTCAGTCCTTTGCAAATAAATTCTCTGCTTGCCCCGTCCCTGAATTGAAGCACCAGAGTGTGTCTACAAGAAAAACAAAGGCAACTGTGTTGACTTGCCTTGCTTTAAATTAATGATCATGGTCCTAAATAATTTTGACACTGCTTTTCCCCTCCCCTATTTTCATTATCTCCCTCCTTAACCACCAGTCCTCACCTTGCACTTTGCTAATGACTTCATTTATTTTTTCATCTAGATATAGAAGCAATCAGAAGAAAAATACCTGCTCTTCATATGCATCTTTTTCTGCATTGTCCCCTGTTTCACTGGATGTTGATCTTTACTCCTATCTTGTTATGGTCTCTATCAGATTTGATCCCATGTTTTCTATGCAAGGATTTTGCTCTTTCAATTATTCCTTCTCACCTGTATCATTAATTTCTCCATTTTCCAAATTATTTCCACCAATATGCAAACATACCAAACATCTTTCATCGTAAAGAGCAAAAACAAAAGCTCAAAAAATTGTTTGTAGAATCCAAATCTCTTTCTAGTAATCTAATTCACTTCTGATTTTATAATACAATGACTCTAATATGTTATCTGCAATCTCTACTTTAATTCATTTTTTCATTCCCACCACCGCACTTAAACCCCTCTTGTAACAGTCACCAATGTCTTCTTCAATCTAATCAAATCCATTGGTCAAAACTGAATACTCAGAACAATTTCATGACCTTCCCCTTCCATTTGGAAATCCCTGTTTCACAGGGTTTATGGAACACCACATTCTCCTGGTTTCTCTTCTGTCTCAAAGGCTTCACCATCTCAGTCTTTTGCTGGCTTCTTCTAATCTCTCTGACCTTTAAATAATTGGTTTGTCTGAATCTAGGGGATGTTATCGTTTATTTGTAAGCACAAAGTTAATTTTCACAGAGCTAGTGCTGATTTTTAGTTGAATTAACACTATCTTCTCTTGTCTGTTTTTTTTTTTTTGAAGCCCAGTACTCAACAATCATTCTCCTTTTATTTGCTGAATATTTCTTCTAATTTAGAAACCTAGATTGCCCTTTTTTGTTTGTTTCCTATTCCGAGTAATTTCAGGAGATTATGCCTCCCCCCACAGAAACATTGGCAATAAATAAAAGAAGGAAACTATACTTGATAAGAGATAAAAGGGCAGGTTAGAAAATAACTTTGTCTTCAATTTTGTGGCCAATTTTATTTTGAAAGATGCTCACTCCACTGTGTCTCATCTCACTTGTTCTTCTGCCATGTGATTTTGCCACGATCCTATCAAGATTTAGAATCAAATTTCCCTCATTTTGAAAATCTGTACTTTTTAGTGGCATGCTTGTGTCAATACAATATAGGCGTAATGACTCTGCTAGATATTAGAGAGTTATGGGTTTATATTTTGGAAGACTATCTCTCTGACACTACCTTGGAAGCCTTTTGCTCTTTGGCAAGAAGTTCAATCTGTATGCAGAAGCCATATATAGGTCTTCTGGTTGACATTCCCAATAGATCCAGGCAATCAGCCCAGGTGTCATACATGTGAGTGAAATTTTCAGATTCCAAATCTCAGTTATTTGAGTCCTAACCCATTTAAATCTTTTCACGTGAGGCTCAAATATTGTGGAACAGTTATAAGTCATCACCTCAGGGCTCTGTGTCAATTCCTAACAGTATCCTTAAGTATAATAAAATGATTGCTGTTTTATGCCAATAAGTTTCTTACACAGCATTTTAAATCTAGAAAACTGGGACCTCTTTTTTTTTTTTTTTTTGGTGGATTCCAGGTTTAGTGCAGGGAAAGTAAATTAAGTTTCAAGCTATTTGTTGTTACAAAAAATATGAAAGGGTTAAAAGGCAAATTATAGCATTCAAATACATATGAAACTGGCTTGTAGAAGTTATTACTGATAAAATTTGAGATACATTTAAGTATCTCAAAGAAAAATTACTGAAATTGGTTATAACTCTTGAATATTCAAAATTCTCATCCTCAAAAGTGCTATAAAATAAAACATCCCAGTCTATATAATCCAAACAATTTTTGTTTTGAAATAATCTTAGATTTATATAATAAGTCACAAAAATAGTACAGAGAATGCCCATGTACCCTTTACCCAGCTTCCTCCAATAACTATAACTTCCTCCATCTCTTATATCTATAGTACAATAATTGAGACCAGGAAATTGACATTAGTACTCTACTACTAACTCAACTATGAACCTTACTGAATTTCATGGTTTTTCCCATGAACTTGCCTTTGTGTTTGTGTATGTGTGTGTATGGTATATTAATTTTACAACATGTATGCACTCATGTAACCATCACCACAATCAGTCATATGCCGAACTACTCAATCATATACAGAACTATTCTATCACCTCCGGAAAACTCCCATATGCTGTCCTTTTATAGTCCCCACATTCCCCTACCCCTCATTGCTAGCCATCACTAGTATGTTCTGCATAGCTGTAATTTAGTCTTTTTGAGTATCGTATAAATTGGATTATACAGTAAGTCAACTTTTTGATTTGGATATTTTTCACACAGGATAATGTCCTTGACATGTAGCCAAGCTGTTGCATTATAAATAATTTCTTTTAACTGCTGTGAAGCACTCCATTGTATGGATGTAACATGTTTGTTTATTCTTTCACTCATCTGAGGACATTTGAGTTGCTTCTACTTTTTTGGCTATTACACATAAAGCTATGATGGACAATTTTGTGCAATGTTTTACTTGAACGGCAAACTTGTTCTTAAAGGGTCATATGTTTAGTATTTTAGGGTTGTGAACCATATGGCCTCTGCCAGAACTATCTAACTTTGCAGTTATAGAGCCAAATAATGATAGACAATACATCAATAAAAAGGTGTGACTCACATCCAATAAAACATTATTAAGAAAATAGAGCGCTAGTTCCTAGGATACAGTTTGCCATCTCCTGCCCTATGATAAACAGTCAGGGATGAGATTACTGGGTTTTATGAAAAGCACTGTTGAGCTCTATAAGAAATTGTCTGTTTTTCATAGTGGCTATGCCATTTTACATCTCCACAAGCAATGCATGAGAGATCCATTGTATTGCATTTTCACCTGCACTTGCTATTACCAGTGTGTTTCATTTAATTCTTTTAAAAGCATTTTATTAGATACATAGTAAATCTCATTGTGGTTTTAATTTGTATTTCCATATTGGTTAATGACATTGAATAACTTTTCCCATGTTTATTTTCCATCTGAATATCTTTTTTGTTAGATCTGTTCAAGGTTTTGGCACCTTTATTAATTGGATTGTTTTATCTGTGTTTAGAGCATTCTTTATGTATTCGGTGTATAAGTCCTCTGTCAGATATGTTATTTGCAACTATTTTTTCCTAATACGTAGCTTATCTTTTCACTCTCATAGAATGTCTTTCACGGAGAAAAAGTGTTTAATGTTGATAAAGTATTTTTATTATTTCATTCTTTTGTGGGTCATCCTTTAGGTGTCCTGTTTAAGAACAATTCCATCAAACTCCAGGTCACAAAGATTTTCTCTTCTTTTCCTCTACAAGTTTGATCGTTTTACATTATACATTTAGATATAGAAGCCATTTGGAGTTATGTTTTGTAAAATATGTGAGATTAAATCAA